TGTATTTCGGTTCAACAATTACTTTGATAGAAATAAATATTTTGTTATGTTCAAATGGCTTTAGATACCTATTAGGTCCATAAATTACCATACAGCATATATTCAACACAAAAAGCAGTGACAATTTGTTGTTGACAAAGGACAGCTGGACATATAAAGGGCCCCATTACCTTCAGTAGCTTAGGGCCTCATCAAACCTAAATCCGGCCCTGGATATGACCACTTGAACTGGGGTGTTACCAGATGGGCTCAGAACAATGTAATGGTCTTGTCTGCTAGTCTCTCTCCAGCAGTGGCTTCCACCAGCTAGTACAAGGGGAGAGTAAAACCTGTATAGGCTCAGTAAACATCTCCAGGGGTTGATCCTTCTTCTCATCCGCAGGCAATTAAAACTATTTAGAGCCTCTCAGTGGGGAAATGCACTGTGAGAGGGCAATTGCTTTAACCAGAGAGGAAATTGGGGGTGGGGGGTGAGAAAAGTCTAGATGTCTTAATTGATTTTACACACCACAAAATTTAAAGCTGTTCCAATCCGGTATCTCTTTGAAGAGATGATTTCTGCTTTTCTGAACCGAATTACGATCACTGTATTCAGTCTTTTCCTATCGGGGCACTCCAGCTGTTTTTGGACTACAGCTCCCATCAGCCCCAGCTGGCATTGTGGTCCAAAAGCAGCTGGAAGACACCAAATTGGAGACGGCTTCTCTATTTGATGTATAGTAATTGCTTAAAGATTCTGCCTCTATGGAGCCATCTGTAGGGCTGCTCTGCTCTAAGCTTCCGAAAGGAAAGAGCAGGATATAAATGTAATAAAATTAATCCTGTGCCCCATGCTAAGCATTTAATTATTTAAAATAGTTCTCATCTCTCTCCATATAAAGGCAGCTAGATTCCGGAAAATGTTTGAGTTAGTTGGTTTGGACACTTGGTACTCAAGGGTCTGGCAGACAGCCTTCTTAGGAAAAAAATTCTCATAAACTGAAAGACCTCTCTAAGAGGTCTAGTAAAAAAAAAAAACAGCCCCCCCCCTTGCATTATGGTTTAATTTATGTCATTTACAAATAAGGAGGCATATGGACGGATTATCCCTCCAGCTAATGCTGTAGTATGGGTTACATGAAAATACTATCAATAAGATTCAACACACCCATGCTATTTTCTTTTGTTTTATGATATTTTATTTTTAATCATATCTCTGTTCTTATGGTGTATACATATGAAAGCAAGGGAAATAAGAATAACACATTATTATTTTTACCTTGAGGATCATCTAGTCAATCCCCCTGTAATGCAGGAATCTCAACCAGATCATACATGACAGATAGCCACCCAACCTCTGCTTAAAAACCTCCAAGGTAAGAGAGTCCACCGACTCTTGTGGGATCTGTTCCACTGTCAAACAACTCTTACAGTCAGAATGTTCTTCCTGAAGTTTAGTCGGAATCTTCTTTCTTGTAACTTGAAGCCGTTGGTTCTAATCCTACTCTCCAGAGCAGAAGAAAACAAATTGCTCCATCCTCCATGTGACAGCCCTATAGATATTTGAAAATAGAGACTACACTTCTGTTGATGCTTGCTTTGCTGCTGCATCACACTGTTCACTCATGTCAAGCTTGTGATCAACTAAGACCCTTAGAATGGGACGCGGGTGGCGCTGTGGGTTAAAGCCTCAGCGCCTAGGACTTGCCGATCGAAAGGTCGGCGGTTCGAATCCCCGCGGCGGGGTGCGCTCCTGTCGCTCGGTCCCAGCGCCTGCCAACCTAGCAGTTCGAAAGCACCCCGGGTGCAAGTAGATAAATAGGGACCGCTTACTAGCGGGAAGGTAAACGGCGTTCCGTGTGCTGCGCTGGCTTGCCAGATGCAGCTTGTCACACTGGCCACGTGACCTGGAAGTGTCTTCGGACAGCGCTGGCCCCCGGCCTATAGAGTGAGATGGGCGCACAACCCTAGAGTCTGTCAAGACTGGCCCGTATGGGCAGGGGTACCTTTACCTTTACCTTTAAGACCCTTAGATCTGCCATCTCTCCCAGAGTGTTGCTTGAGGTGACTTTTTCAGAAAGGCTCGTGGTAGTGCTGGCCCTGGAAACTCCTATGGGTTTTCAGCATCATCTGAATGAAGACTTAGCTATTTGTCCAGGTAAACAAAATGTAAGAAGAGCTCAACTAGGCCAAGTCAAAGGAGCATCTAGTCCAACATCCTGTTCTCAAAGTAGCCAGTCAGATACCTTTTCTGGAAATCCTACAAGCAGGACTTGAGCACAATAGTACAGTGGTACCTCAGGTTAAGTACTTAATTCATTCCAGAGGTTCTTAACCTGAAACTGTTCTTAACCTGAAGCACCACTTTAGCCAATGGGGCCTCCCGCTGCTGCCGCGCTGCCGGAGCACGATTTCTGTACTCATCCTGAAGCAAAGTTCTTAACTTGAAGCACTATTTCTGGGTTAGCGGAGTCTGTAACCTGAAGCGTATGTAACCTGAAGCGTATGTAACCTGAAGTATATGTAACCTGATGTACCACTGTACACTCCCCACTTGTGACTCCCAGCAACAGATTGCCTCAGACAGTAGAAGTAGAACATAACCATAATGGCTAGTAGTCATTAACAGCCTCTCTCCATGAACTTGCCAGATTGTCTTTTTGACTTGTTCAAATTAGTGGTCATCATTACATCTTGTGGTAGCAAATTCCATAGTTTAACTATGCACTGTGTGAAGAATATATACATAACAATTTCCTCACACCATGCCAATGTCTTCCACTGGTAGGGACAGGAAAGCGTTCAGCATAATATTATAAGGACACCAGTCTGAAAGAGCACAGGATGTTTTTACAACCTTTGCAGATGTATCATGAAGATTCTCCCGACAAGACTCCAGAATCAATGAATTAAACACTACAGAAGCAAATTTGGCAGCCGTGTAAATCTGTTCGAAAGTCATTCTAGAATGCACCTTGAGGAAACAATCACAAGTCATTCATCCTGTGCTGGAATCCTGTTTGGAAAAGAACATCCTTCTCTAAACATAGTTTCATTCTCAAAAGATCCTGCTTACTTCACATTTTCTAATTGTGGGAATAGGTGTTAAATTGGGGGTCTCTAAGGGCACACACACATTGAGTCAATGGAACAATTCACTACACATTGAATGTGTTCAACAGAGATTTGCTCTAATGTGTCAGCTCATTCATAAAGGTGCAATTAAATATCACATCATTAAGGGACTGTATTTCCCCCCTAGTTATCCTGATTATATTTTGCTGGCTCATAAAAAAACAGCGCCAATACAATTCACACTTAAAAATCAACATATTTCTTTCTTGGTTGGTAGGAATCATCCTCCTGATTATTTTCAGCTATAACTTTTAACACGTTTAAACATGGAACTTTCTTGCATTGTTTTTTTTTAATGGCATTTTTATGAGATATTCTCATAATATCTAAGAAAAGCACTTTATAGAAAGCAACTCATTCTCAGTTGCTTCAATCTGTTAAAAGAGAGTTTGAAAGAGATGCCTCAAGACTATTTCAGCTAGAATGTTTCTAAGCTAAGTTCAGCCTTCCAGATGCTTTGGACTACAACTCCCATCAGCCCCAGTCTCCACTCCAAAACATCTGGAGGGAACCAGCCAATTAAAAATACACCGAAGCCCAGTTAACTACGTCATGTGATGCAAAAGTGTTTAACTTTAATTGGAACAGGGAAAAGTAAATTGCCACTGACAATTTGGCATTTCCACCATGTTTCAACTCGTTTGCACCAAGCTGACCTCACCATTACCTAACCCCTCTGCCTCACAGTAGGTCACACTGATGCCATTGATAGGGGGTTAAGTAAGTGCCACCACCCCACAAACCAACACCATTCCAGTGGTAAATTTGGGTGGAGTACCGGGTGATAATAATCATTTTGAGTCATTGATTAGGTAATGTATCACCTAGTGGTTAGAGGGAATGACACACTCCTCTGACATAGCAAAGAAGATTACCATCTTCAGAAGAAAATGATATATACATACATACAGTGCTTTTTTCTATTAAAAATGTTTAGGGGTACTCTCATTTTCCTACTCATATTGAAATACTGCCCCTCAATGAGGCAAAACTTAGATTCACAAAATGTTTAGAGGCAGTGATTTTTTTTCTTTAAGAAATGTTTAGGGGTACTCTCATTTTGACTCAAGAAAATCCCCATTTTATAGTTCAAATCTAGAAAAATAAATACAGTAAATGGACAAAAGTTCAAAGATTCACAAAATGTGTACTCCCAGAAAAAGCACTACATACATAAATACCTACATACATAATTTTATTTGTATGCCGCCTTTCCACAATATAAACAATGTTCAAGGTGGCTTTCAAAGTAAAAAAAGTTATACAATTCAAAACACAGCAAAATTAGTCAGAAACAGTAAATAAAACATCAAAAAGTACACAACCAAATGGAACAATTTTCCACATACATCATAATAAAGATTCAAAATAAAGATACAAAAATTTAATATCAATAACAGCAACAACCCTCAGCTCAACAAAAGCCCCTAAGCAATATCCCAGCCCAAGAGTTGTCCAAAAAAATTAACTTGCTTATCAGATGCTTATCAAATCTCCAGTATATTTCAGTGGAAGCTTTCCTACCTTGTAGTCTAAGCATTGTATTGTGGCATACATAACCTTTCACAGAAAAGAATCCACTTTGTCTGATGCCAGAGGTTGTACAGTCGACAACAGGTTGTGCCAAAATAAAGCAGTTGATTTTAAGATGCTACAAGACTCTTCTTGACTCTTTTTGCTGCAACTGACAAAACAAATTCTAGAGGGACAGATGTGTTAGTCTGACGCAGCAAGTGCATACATAACTCATTTGTGATGGAATAAGATACTTGTTGTTCTTATTTATTTTATTTTTGCATAAATAAATAAATGTGTGGAATCTGTGCCCTCTCTGTCTGGGGATTTGGGAAACCAGTAGGTCAGGACATGGAGCATCTGTGAGAAAGGAAGCACCCAAATTGGCAGCAAGGTGGGGTTGTTGGGATGGCTAACCCTTCATTTGAATGCAAATGTTGCTTGAGAGCAGCCAGTTATCTGTGACATCAGATAGAACCTTAGTAAACTGTTGGCCCAGCACCTGGTAATACTATTGTTAATCATGTGTAGTAAAGAGACCTCGGGGCTAGCATGAGTCATTCATAGAGCCAGTTGGGGCTAGAAAAAGAGAGTGAGAGAAAGAGGAGGGGGTGTGACATCAAAGGAGTAGAAGCAGGATGCCTTGGCAGGACAAAGCTAGGGTATGAGCATCATGTATGTGAGTTATCTTTTGGAAAAAGAAGGCAGCATGTATCCAGGATCCGTAAGGTGCAACAGCAGCAGCAGCAGCAACAACAACAACAACAACCTGCCGGCACAAAACTTTGCCTCCACAACACCCTACGCAGATTACATGGGATACCATCCAATGCAAAATATAGACCACCGTGGACAACCAGGGGCTTGGGGAGCACATTATGGCCTGCAAAGGGAAGACTGGAATGCTTATGGCCCAGCACCTTCCAACACTGTGACCGCTACGCAAATGAATGGATCATCTCCCGGGCAGGTTTCCTATAGTTCTGCTGATTACAACTCCTTGAATCCCGCTGGATCGGGGGCTTTACCTTCTGTAAATACAATCAATACAGAGCAAATCTCTCCCCACAGTCAAAGACACAGCTCTTACGAATGGATGAGGAAAACAGTCCAATCCACTTCAACAGGTATGTTGGCGAGGACTAATCTATACACGGAAATCTCTAGCATTATTCTGTGCCATCTCACCCACACACCTCTGCAAGGGAATACAAAACTCTTGCTCAAGATGAGAAAGATTGCTTCCCTAGACGTTGTCTATGCTTTTGTACAAATTTGATTTATTGTCCTTCTGACATCCATGAAAGATCAAATCTAATGAAATAATCACCACATGCAATGTGCAGAAACGGGTTTTAGGGAGCGGGATAAGAGAATTTTTAATTGGAAGTGAACCGGGGTAATATCCATCTAAGTCATACTTAAAGAGATTCACTGAAATAAATGGACTTAAAGTGAATGATTTCAATGGGGGCACTCTGAGTATGACTTATGTTAATTGATTTCAATGGGTCTACTTTGAGTATGGTTTAGTTTGTTATTACCCAAAGTCTTTTAAACGAGATAATCCACCAAATATTTTTTAAAAAATATTCAACATAACCTTATGCCTGTTTATAGGAATTAAGTCTTACTCCCATATAGGACAGCAGACTGAAACACGCTGTTTTGGTAGCACTGTAATTGAATATATGGCTCATTTAAAAGTAAGCTTCTCACATTTTCTACACACTTGTATGACTGAAAAACTAAAATGGTCTTGAAGGAGAAAAGTTATATTCACATAAAGCTTCACATCTTCTGAGGTCTACATGAGAGGGAGGTCTGCAGCATCACACCATGGTTATATGTTCAATTTATAGGGTTTCATGCATTAACACTTCAAATGGAAACAGTAGATGAAAGGTCATCCTTCACTTTAAAATGCTAGGCATGCTCAGAGGTTGCAGGGATCTAACACACACAACCAGCTTGATCTTTTCATAGGAGTTTCATTAGTAAGCTGGTGAAATAAAAATTGTATAAAATATATGTCGGAGGTCCAGGAAAATATTTGTTAGATAATGGACTAGAATAAAGGTGTTGGCGGGGTGTGTGTGTGAGGAGGCAACTGCCAGATTACTAAACACTCAGTAATTATACTACTATGGACAATGAAGAACAAAATTCTGGTTTTAAAGTGCTGCATTAAAAAGAGAATCCACACAGTTACTGTGTGGTTTGACCGTGGCTATTAAGAGACAGTGGAAGTTAATTGCTGCAATACCTGGTGCTCCATAACATAGTGCATAATACCAGAATCCCAAAATGAGCCAGGCACACTTTTGCAGGCAATCCTTCAAAGAACAATAGTGCTATTAAGGGGGGGGGGTGTTAAGTACTGCAAAACTTAAATGTATTTAGCTTTCAATTGAATCCTTTGGTTATGAAAACAGTAGCGTAAACATATTACTCCTTGCTGATTATGTAAAGTACAGGAAACTCTGATCAGTGATTTGAACATCTAAGAGCTCAACTGTGATATTATGGCTTTCTGTTAATCAAGCCTCATGGAATGCTGGGGCATGTAAATCTCAAGGGGTTAATCAATGGTTTAAATTATTTCTTCCAAGTGAAGAATTGTGGTAAAGTATCTCTCTAAAAACAGGCTACTGGAAAGGTCTCTATTGAAATAACTTTCAAATAACTTTCTACATTGCTTTTGAGGCCTCTTCTTATTATTTCCCACCTTCCGTCAAAGGAACTCATGGGTTCCCTTCTCGTTCTATCCTCACAAAAACCTTGTGAAGTAGGCTAGGCTGAGAGGCAATAACCAGCTGAGTGAGGATTTGAACCCTTATCTCCCCGAACACTCTAACCGCCACACCGACTTTTAAAAATGCTGCTATGTAAGTACCTAGAGTTGCTGTTCTTAGGTTTCAGCACAGTCCCCCTCTCTGGAAGTTCAATCTCTGAGACTCAAATCCTACACATGCTGAAGGTTGCAATCTTAACTCCATTTACCTAGGAAGACCTCTGAATTAATATGATTTGCTTATGAGTAGACATGATTAGGATTGCACTGTTAGCCACATTTGAAACAGGGTGGAATTTTACTAACAAGCAAACATGCACAGAATATTGCTGCATGGCTCCTTGTCAGTGCCCAGCCTACACATACAATAGAACAATTAGATCTGTCTGATATATACCAGGTGCTGGGATTCACATGTGGTGAGAGTTGCTGTTGCTTGCTGGCTTCCCATCGGCATCTGATTGGCCACTTTGAGAACAGGATGCTGAATGAGGCAGGCCTTTGGCCTAATGCAGTTTTCTTCTTATATTTTTATGTTAACAAAAATAACAAATTCCAGAGAGGTAGCTGTTTTAGTCTGTGGCAACAAAAATAACAAGGAGTCTCGTGGCGCCTTGAAGATAAATAAACACTTCCTGTCTCACAATGCAAAACCAGATTGGTAGACAATTCTAACTAAAATTAAACACACCATGCTAGAGCCCTTTAGAACCTAACAAATTAATAATATAAGAACTGTCCTGTAAACAGGAACCGATTGAGCTGCCCGGTCCAACATTCTGTCTTCTGCAGTAGCCAACAAGGTGTCATGAACATTTCATGAACAGTGCACAACAAAGCAGTGCTTGTTTGCTTCCAGAAATCAGGGCAGCTGATAGAACCTGCCCTAAGGTTATTTGGCAGCAAAGTGCTTATTCAAATGCTCTTTTTGGATGCTATACTCTCTACCATCAGGAATATCAGCAGCTCTTCTTTGTACAGAATCCAAGTGGCCAACAATTAAGGCAAGAACACTCAGTTAAATCATATTTTAAAAATTGTTACTATTGAGCATTTTTCCTCCACTGTGCTATACGGAATTAGGTGATAACTAACTCTGGAAAGCAGCTTGTCAATATTTTTTTAGATTATTATTATTTTCCAGAACCGAGCTCTGCTTTGACCTTGAGAAAGAGATTGGATCTTCTGGAAAGAATCCAAATGGAACCTACAACCAATTAGAAACACAACCTTTTAGAGCTAGTTATCTGACCCAATTCTCACCAGTTTCCTTATAAAATGTCTTTACTGAGCTAAGTTTCTAAGTGCTGCCCGCTGCAGTCTTAGATAGCCACTACAACAAGGTAGACACATGCAGACAGACTTTGTGTTTGTGGTCAACATCAAGTCATCTGTTAGCCTGTTAGCAGTCAGAGCTTTCAGATTTATTTGTCAAATATGACAAAACCAATATGATGCATGCCTTGTAAATTTTTGACTTGCTGTCAAGCATATACTGCTACAAAGACTTGGTAGTTAACATAGCAGATGGCCAAACTTCTCCTATTTGGTTCAATTGCTTTATATAGTGTATTTAGCACCAACAGTGGCAGATGCTCCCCTGTGAAAAGAGAAGTATTAGTTCAGAGGTTGTCAAACTGCTTTCAAGGGTATTGTGGGCTTTCAAGAAGTTTATCAGGGGTTCCTTGATGAGTGTTAACACTGGCTAGCTTTCTCTGCAAGACAGTTTTGACCAGAAGCTGAGCACTTCTTTTGGAGTATGTTTGCCCAGAGAGAACAGACCTGCCTTTAAATAATAAATATCCCCTTCAAATGCAGACAGCCTATTGTTTTGGTTTGTACCAGTTGGACCTTCACCCTTTTGCCATCACATTTCAATATTGGTGCCACCTTCTCATGCCACAATTGAGAAGGCACTGTGGAGTTCAGGTCCTGCTTGCAGGCTTCCCATGGGTATCTAGTTGGCCACTGTAAGAACAGGATGCTGGACTAGATGGGCCATTGGCCTGATCCAGCAGGACACTTCTTACACTCTCGTGCACTCCAGATCTTCCTCTGCTGCTGCTGTATGAGGTTTATGGATTTTTTCAAGGTACAGCCTCATGGTGAGGAGAAACTTGGTCCATGCCATGTGCTGTGTCTGTGTCTTTTCCCTGGGATCTGCTTTGTTTTCTACCAGAATCTTAAAGTTCACCAAACAGAGTCAGGTGCAAAATAGTGCATAAAGAGGCCCAGTTTAGGTGTAACAATCACAGTCCCAAAAACCAGGGTTCCATGGATATTAGGTCAAGAGCTAGCATTGTGCATATATGTGTGTGTGCTTCCTATTGCCCTTCCCTCCCTCCTTTGTTTTCTTGCAGGCCTTAATGCAATATTTCCAGGGATTGTTAATCCATTATCGGTTTCAGGAAATCCAATTTTTAAGAGAAGGGACTTCTCTTGTTGCTAAACAATAAACAATAAAGGGATTTTGTTTGTTTGTTTACAATCAAGTAGTACTGTATATAAATTGTGTTAAATAATTTAAAAAATACTGTAAATCACTGAAAGGTCTGTTAGTAGGTACCAAACCTCCGCTCTGCATACAAACACAGCCCCACTCAAGAATTTTCTGCAATAGGCGGAAAGGTAAATGTAGAGTGAGTTTCCTGAAAGTGGAAAGTTTAAAAGCACATTTATACCACTTTAGCACTCATTGCTTTCCCCAAAGAATCCTGGGAGCTGCAGTTTACCACTCATAGAGCTATAATTCCCAAAACACTCTTAGCAAATTATAGGGGGTGATGTGATTGGTGTAAATAGATGAATACTGACGTTTTATAATAAATTTTTATTAGTTTTCAATTACAGTACAGTCCAATAATAGCCTCATTATAACAATACCAATTTATAATACAATTATTAATAACAATCATTCAAATACCGAATTATACAATTTAAAGTGGGGCCCCTCATAACAATCTACCCCCAAACGTTTTTCAGACATCTGCTTTCTTTCCTTCTCTCATCAGACCTGCTACCCCCAAAGGCCTCTTAACTGTACAATGGACTGTCGCTTTTCCCTATGTTGCTTTCCTGATCCTAAGCACATGCAGAGATGAGAGTCAGGAGGGGAAAATAGCAAACTTTAGCTCCCCATAGCCAAAATACACACAAAAGAGTTTTGTCCTTTAACTGTAACTCTGTACAAGTTGCTCTGATTGCCCTTGACACCATATGTGGAGATATCTCCACATACTTGCAGTTTTCAGACTTCCTCCAACATCATAGGCAGAAAGCCCATGTACACCTGTTGGTGGCAATCACTAGTGGGAAGAGTGCTGCTGCACTCTG